ATTCTCTGCAACTTCAGGAGTCTCAGACAGTTCCCTGGGGGCACTGACAGGTAAGTGACTTACCCAGCCACTAGGTGTCAGAGGTCAGACTCGAACCCAGGTCTTTTTAGCTATGAGACCAAGTCTCTATCTACTGTGCCACACTGACTCTCAGCTCCAAGGCACATGGAAGAAAACAAAGAGTTGAGAAGGAGACATACATGAGGGAATTTTGTTACTTTGTGTTGTTCATTTTTAGTGGTGTCTGACTCTTCATGACCCCATTTAGGGGTTTTCTTGGCAGAGATACTAGAGTGGTTTGCCATTTCCTTCTGCAACTCATTTTACAGATGAGCAAATGGAGACAAAAAGGGTGAAGTTACTTGCCCAGAGTCACACAGTGAGTAATTGTCTGAGGCCACATTCGAACTCAGGAAAATGAGACTTCCGGTCTCCAGGCCCTGTGTTCTATCTGCTGTGTCATACTATGGCATCACCTAGCTGCCCATTTTCTGATGTTGTTACTAGCTTGTTAAATTTAATATAGTTCCCACCACCAAGATAAACAATTTTCCATCAATATTCTAGCCTTAGCATAGTTCCAGAATAGCTGACAGAGTGAGTGCCTACACTGGTAGGTAAGGACAAAATAGACACATTGAAGAAAGGCAGATTCAGGACTCTACAAGGAGCTATGCTGTTCCTAAGGGGAATTTCTTAAGGACTCCAGCAAAAGTGCAACCAGGAGCAGAGTTAACTCTTTGCCATGCACTCTCTGGCCGTAAGCCCACATTTCCCTGGACTCTGTCTATTCATGGGGAGAATGTCACAGGGTTTGGGGGAGATATTTTATATTAACAGATATTACTCTGGTACATGAATACTTCTTTCTAAAAGCCATTTGAGTCTGGCTGACTAATTAGTTTTAATGATAATCATGGTTGGAAGCACACGGGTCGGGGCTCATGGGACATCTCATGAGAAAATAAGCCCATTACCCTTCAAGTGTGTAGTAGCTGCATTCATGAGTGGGAGTAGGGATAGTCATCCCACAGCAAGTGCAACCAAGTAAACAAGAAACATTTTAAAAGTGAATTTAATGTTCCATAAAAAATGATGAGCAGGTGGATTTCAGAAAAACCTGGAAAGACTTACATGAACTGATGCTGAGTGAACAGAACCAGGAGAACATTGTGCACAGTAACAGCAGCCACATTATGCGATGACTAACTTTGATGGACTTAGCTCTTCTCAGCAGTGTAATGATCTAAGACAACTCCAAAAGACTCATGATGGAAAATGTTAGTCATATCTAGAGAAAGAACTATGGAGTCTGAATGCAGATCGAAGCATACTATTTGCTCTTTTTTTTCCTTCTTTCTCATGGTTTTTCCCTTTGGTTCTGATTTTTCTTTCACAACACGCTTAATGTGGAAATATGTTTAATATGATTGTACATGTATAGCCTGTATCACATTACATGCCCTCTTAGGGAGGGGGAAATATTTAAAACTCAAAATCTTATAAAAGTGAATGTTGAAAACTAAAAATAAATAAATAAATTTAATTAAAAAAATTTTAAGATAAAAAAGTGATTTTGAGAACTTTGGCTTTTATCAGCGATCACATATCATTTCTAGGAAGTTGAAATAACAGAGGAAAAATTATTTCACTTTAAACATGTCTACTTCACTCAGATTAGAAATGGATTTAAAAAAACTCAGAAGCGATTAAAACACTGTGATGACTTAGCGATTTCTAAATGACAGATGAAAAGTTCTTTTTGCCCTAATGCACAATCTCAGCAGGAGGAACATGTCTCACTCCCTCTATGTCTAATTAAATTGTTAGAGGTTTTCAACAAGAAATAATCTTTGGTACAGGACGCTTTATGTAGAAACAAAAATTACATAACCAATTTACTTTGCAATTGTTACCCTAGGGGATCTAAGGAAAGGTTTAGAAGTTTGCCATGTTTTAAGGAAGGTAGGAAGCATATTAGAAGGTAAATTTAAAGTGTAAATACTGTAAAAAAAAGAAAAACCTGTCTAGAGAGGGGGATGATAACAATCACCAATACATTTACAGAAAAGGCTTGGCAAAGCATTTTACAGTTTTTACAGTAAGTTGGTAACCAGGACAAATATTCCAAATCTTCGTTTAAGATGGTGATACCAGTGAAGTTTTCAAAAACGAAATTTACCGCTATTGTTTCCTTGATGTTGAAGTGGAAAAAGGTGAGATGAGGAAGAAAATAATTATTTTACACTGGAGGAACTGGAGGGTAATTTCTGATAGACAAGTTATCTCAATTTTATCCACGTAGAGAATCGTCTAATGGTGGTAACATGGATACTTCAG